ATAGAGTAAAATGATTCAACATAAGTCTAATGGGAACTACATGAGAAGAAAATGGTGAGAATAAAGAAGAAGCAATATTTGAAAAGATAATGGCTGAGAATTTTTCAGAATTGAGGGAAGATATAAATCCTCAGAATGAGGAATACCAGTGAATCTCAAGCCAGATAAATAAAAACAAATCCAAACTTAGATACATTATAATGAAACAAAAACATCAAAGATAAAGAGAATATCCTAAAAGAAGCTAGAAAAAGACACATTTTCTACAAAGAAACAATAATTCTACTGTCAGATAACTTCTTTTTTTTTTTTTTAAGATTTTATTTATTTATTTGACAGAGAGAGAGATAGCAAGAGCAGGAACACAAGCAGGGGGAGTGGGGGAGGGAGAAGCAGGCTTCCCACCGAGCAGGGAGCCCGACGCGGGGCTCGATCCCAGGACCCTGGGATCATGACCTGAGCTGAAGGCAGACACCCAACGACTGAGCCACCCAGGTGCCCCCTGTCAGATAACTTCTTAATAGTAACAATGGAAGCCAGAACACACTGGATTAGTATCTTCATTGTGTTAAGAGATTATACTAGACACCTAGAATTCTATACCCAGTGAATCTAACACTCAAAAACAAAAATTAAGTAAAATGAAAACATTTTAAGAAAAACAAAAACCAAGAGCTTACCTGCAACAGAACCTTACTTACTAATATACCTTCAGAAGAAGGAAAATGATTCCTGAAGGAAAATCTAAGATGTAAGAAAGAATGGGAGCAAAGAAAATGTCAAGCTTGAGGATAAATGTAAACAAATATTGGCTGCATAAAACAATACCAATAATGGCTAATATTAAGAGCATAAAATCGGGCGCCTGGGTGGCTCAGTTGGTTAAGCGACTGCCTTCGGCTCAAGTCATGATCCTGGAGTCCCGGGATCGAGTCCCACGTCGGGCTCCCTGCTCAGCAGGGAGTCTGCTTCTCTCTCTGACCCTCCCCCCTCTCATGCTCTCTATCTCATTCTCTCTCTCAAATAAATAAATAAAATCTTTAAAAAAAAAAAAGAGCAGGGGCGCCTGGGTGGCTCAGTCGTTAAGCGTCTGCCTTCGGCTCAGGTCATGATCCCAGCGTCCTGGGATCGAGCCCCGCATCAGGCTCCCTGCTCCGCGGGAAACCTGCTTCTCCCTCTCCCATTCCCCCTGCTTGTATTCCCTCTTTCGCTGTGTCTCTCTCTGTCAAATAAATAAATAAAATCTTTAAAAAAAAAAAAAAGAGCATAAAATCAAGATAAAAATGAAACACAACAATTGTTTTTAAGTCTGGAGGGTTCAGATTGGAGTTGGAGTATACTAAGATCCATGTATTGTTCCTGAGGAGAACAATGATTAATGTTAGGATCTGCTAAGTGTGTAAATTAAAATTTGGGGATGATCATTAAAAGAACAGAAACAGAGTATATAAACTAGTAAAGGGTAAAACAGAATTAGTACAGGGAGAATTTAATCCAACCATCACAGTCCATGTACTAACAGTCTCTTGAGTCTATAGGGAGAGGATGATTGGTACTTTCCTAGGCTCTACCCTATGTATTTCTTCCCTTGGTTGATTTTAATCTGTATCCTTTGTCAGTAATAAATTGTAAACGTGCATATAACAGCTTTCACTGTGTTCTGAAAGTCCTTCTAGTGAATTATCAAACTTGAGGATGATCTTGGGAGTCCATGAACTTGTCATTGGTGTCAGAAGTGTGCATTCCTCCTTATCTTCACAGTTGGTGAACTTTTGGACTGTCTAATCTCCCCCCAAAATAAAATGGATAAAGTATGACATATTCTGTACAGCAATGAGAATGAATGAATATTCACACAACAATAAGGATGAATTTCATAAACATAATGTTGAATGAAAGAAGCCAGAAGAAAAAGAAAACATTGTGTAAGGAAATAAAACTTCCATGGATGTCTTGGTGCTTCTGTAGAAAACCCTAGTCTTGGGGCACCTGGATGACTCAGTAGGTTAAGCATCCGCCTCTTGATTCCAGCTCAGGTCATGATCTCAGGATTGTGGGATTGAGCCCTGGGTTGGGCTCTGTGCTAGGAGTGGAGCCTGCCTAAGATTTGCCCTCTCCCTCTGCCCCCAACCCCATACCAGGAGCTCTCGAGAGAAAGGAAGAAAGAGAGAAAGAGAGA